TTCTAACTCTTGGAAATCCTTATTACATTCCTTTCTAATTCCTTTTCCTTCCTGGCCCAGACCTCTCGGCGCCGTAAAAAACAAAACAAAAAACACCACCAACAACGAAATTCCTTTCTAACTCTTGAAATTCCTTTATTAAATTCCTTTCTAACTCCTTTTTCCTGCCTGGCCCAAACCTCTCGGCGTTGTAAAAAATGAAACAAAAAACAACCAAAAACACAAAATTTCTTTCTAACTCTTGAAATTCCTTGATAAATTCCTTTCTAACTCCTTTTTTTCCTTCCTGGCCCTGACCTCCCGGCGTCGTAAAAACAAAACAAAAAAACAGCCACCAAAAATGAATTTCTTTCTAACTCTTGAAATTCCTTATTAAATTCCTTTCTAACTCCTTTTTCCTTCCTGGCCCAGACCTCTCGGTGTCGTTAAAAAAAAAACAGAAGCAAAAATAATCAAAAAAGCGAAATTCCTTTCTAACTCTTGATATTCCTTATTAAATTCCTGTCTAACTCCTTTTTCTTTCCTGGCCCAGACCTCTCGGCGTCGTAAAAAAAACAAAACGAAAAAACAATTTCAAGAAAACGAAATTCCTTTCTAACTCTTGAAATTCCTTATTAAATTCCTTTCTAACTCCTTTTTCCTTCCTGGCCCAGACCTCTCGGCGTCGTAAAAAACAAAACGAAAAACCACCACCAAAAACGAAATTCCTTTCTAACTCTTGAAATTCCTTATTAAATTCATTTCTAACTCCTTTTTTCCTTCCTGGCCCAAACCTCCCGGCGTCGTTTCTTTTTTGTTTAAAAACAACACCCAAAACGAAATTCCCTTCTAACTCTGGAAATTCCTTATCAATTTCCTTTCTAACTCCTTTTTTTCCTTCCTGGCCCAGACATCTCGGCGTCGTTTTTTTTTTTTTTTTTTTTTTTTTTTTTTTTTTTTTTTTTTTTTTTTTTTTTTTTTTTTTTTTTTTTTTTTTTTTTTTTTTTTTTCTCCTCCCCCCGGCCCAGACCTCCTGGCGTCGTAAAAAACAAATTTAACGCAACAAAACTGAATTCCTTTCTAACTTACGAAATCCCTTATCAAATTCCTTCTAACTCCTTTTTCCTTCCTGGCCCAGACCTCCCGGCGTCGTAAAAAAAAAAAAAACAGAAAAAAAACGCCGCGCGAAAGCTTCGTCGCAGCTACAGCTACAGCTACAGCTACAGCATTAATTGCTCAGCGAATTATTTACTGTAGCACCCTACAATACAGCTACAGCATTAATTGCTCAGCGAATTATTTCTGTTAGGGAAAAAATCAATGGTACTGCTTGCGATCGTCTTGGCTGGTAAACTCTAGCCAAAGCCACGGGAGCGTGCAAGAATACCATGGGAGATCTAGCTCTGCTCTCCACTGCGTGTCGTCACTTGTGGGTAGAATACCCATAGCTGCAAGCCTAGCTAGCGTGTCGGCCATTTCTGTCCAAGGGGTTCCCTGATGGCCGTGTATGTGAACCCAGTCGAAGGTCCTCGCACGACGTTCGATTCTTTTGGGGTCCAGTAGGTGACCCTTGAGAGCCCCCAAAGAGGCCCCACGAACGACTTCCATGCTGTCTGTGTGTACCGTCGCATCCGTGCTGTGTATATTGCAGTACTGAATGCACCATGCTGCCGCCCAACTGGCGGCCTCAAATTCCGCAACCGCAGACGGCAGTGAGGAGGGGTAGATAGATGCAGTGGAGAGTGGACGGGCAAGATATTCAAGAATCCAGCTTACTCCGTCTGTCTCTGCAATGACGACGAGCGCCCACGTTGGTGGGGATGTCTCGTCGTTTTGCAACCTCCAGCGGTTCCGTCCGTGTAGATGTTGATTTTGTCTGGGATGGTCCCAGGGTCGGGGGCGCACGATAGCTTCCCCATTCCCAGGACTGGAGTCGAGTGCCAAAACTGTGCATGCGTAAGTATGTCGGTGCCCAGGGGCTTTCTCCATCTCTTTCGTAGTAGCTCCTTGGTGGATCCCAGCGCTGGGATCGGTCTGATGCTGAGACCTTGGTGCGGCAGACTCTGCTCAGCAGAGGGAGTGGGAGGCGGAGTGGGACAATCCTCTGTGCCGTTTGCTGTCTGCAGCGGCGCATGCACTTCCCCTGCAGACAGTCCTATTTGTCACAGGTCTGCCTCGTCTTGCGCAGAAGCTGCACCGGTCGGCGTCATTGACGGCTCACCTGCTGCTCCCACGAGCTGCGACGTCTCTCCTGCATCTCCAGCTGGCTGGGCGTGCATGTCTTTGTCGGAATTCTCTTCGCGGAAGATCTCGATTGACTCAGCTGGTGCATCATGCTTCTTGTTGGCTTGCACGGTCTTGTCGAACGCAACTTTCAGGATGCCTGCGTCGATTCCCTGTTCGGCGTATGTGCACGCCCTCCTGACCGTCCTGCGATCGGCGTGGACCTGCGTGGCTGCTTCTGGGTCTGTGGCTGCTTCAAGGCGGGTTGGAGGGAGGCCGCCTCTGGCTCTGAAGCCGCTGCTGCTGCCCTGGCCGCTGCACCGCTGCACCAGGCGGGAGGGGCCGTGCCGCTGGCGTGGCTGGGGGCCGCGGCGCGCCTGTCGCAGCCGCCGCCGAAGGCGCTGGCGCGACTGGCGCTGCCGCCACATGGCCACCAGCCTGCGTAGGCTGTGCCGCCAGCATCTGGGCGCTGATCGCGGTGTGGATGACGGTCATCTGCGCCGTCAGCTTCTGCAACTGCTCCGTGGGGTCGATGTCCTGCTTCTCGATCTCCATGGCTTCCTCTTTCTCCTCGATCTCTTGGCAGCTCCTCGGCCTTCTGTGCGTCCTCCATGAGGCCCTTCGTGCGCGCCGTGGCGTCGCGCAGCTTGTCCGTCAGATCCTTTTCATCACGCTGTGCGCCTGAGAGTCTTTTCTTGATGCGGTCGAGGTAGGTCTTCTGCTGGTCCACTCGCGACTTGGCGTCTCGAGCGAACATGACCTGGTAGAAATCACCGGGTTTTCCTCCTCAAATGATCGAATGACCGAGCCCTTCTGGCCCATCTCGTATGCGGATGCGATCTGCTTCTCCGATGCGTCTAGCGACCTCTTGAGCTGCGAGCGGTGCGCCTTGAGCTCCTTGGCCGACGCCGGCGGTGGGAGCCAAAGCTTGTGACCTTCAGCATGTTCGAGGTCTGCTGGACGTGGGAGTGGTGGCGGTGGCGGCGGTGGAGCCGCGTCCCTCGATGTCGGGGCTGCGCTCTGTGCTCGATGTGGCTGTGCGGGCTGCTGGTCCCACGACCAAGACTGCCGAGCCCACGATTGCCACGGAGCGGTGCCTGCTGACCATGGGGCTGGCGTCGCCTTTGGTCTCGAGCGGCGGCGGCGAGCGGTCTGCCGTCCGTGTCGATCTCGTCACAATCGGGGTCTAGGCTGATGTCCTGCTGTGAGGCGGATGCCTGGGAGCAGATCCTGCACACCGTCGAGCTGTAGATGTTCTGGTGCTGACACTTGCTGCATTCCCAGAACTTGGGTGGTAGCTGACCAGCTCTGCAGGCAACTGAGCCCGCTCCGTGTCGATCAGCAGCGTGCGACATGCTGCTGTGATGATTGGCGAGCAGCTCCGTAGGAACAACTACTCGCAGAAGCGCTCTCGTCCTGCTGCGTGCGGCGCGCTCCCTGCGGTGCCAAGCTGGCTCCATCTGGTCGGCTCGCCTGGGAGTTGTGATGCGTGTCACGGTCGGCACCGTTGCCCGAGACAGGGGGGGGCGAGCGCAAAACTCGGGGGAGCGTAAGACCCGGGTTTGCCGGGACTCGGGTTCGCCATCGTTTTTTGACGACCGCGCCTCGGATTTTGACGAGGAGGAGTTTCGTGGGATGTCTGCAGCGGGAGGCCTCGTCAAAATGCAGGCTCGGCCTCGTCATTTGTTTGACGACCTCGTCGGGGATTTCCGAGTCCCCTGTACCCAGGTCTTACGTCCCCTTGAAAAACGGGTCGGCGCGTGTGGCAGCTGTCCCTGCCCGGGCTCGCCACTACCCCTGAGCGGCGCCCGAAGCCCGAGCCGGGGCGGCGGCTGGAGGGGGAGGAGGGAGGAGGGAGGGGGGAGGAGCATGAGGCGGATGAGGTAGAGGAAGAGGAGGAAGGCGAGCCGAGCAGCCAGAGGTCTCTTTGATGCTTCTCGGAGTTGTTCGGATGTCCCTTGAGAGCTTCTGGTAGGACCGTAGGGGCGTCTCGGGGCCTCTTGGTGGTCCTCGGGGCCTCTTGGAGCGTCTTGGGTGCCTCGATGGAAACTGTTGGGGTTCTCTTGGGTGCCTCTTGGGAGCCTCTTGGTGGCATCTGGGGGGCTGTTGGTGGGCGTCCTGGGCCTCCTGGGTGCCTCTTGGGGCCCTCTTGGGACACTCTTGGGAGCCTGGAAACCATCTCGGGGCCATCTTGGAGGTGAGCGATCAATGAAGGGTTAGGTCCCCCTCTCAGGAGGCCAACATTGGGGCAACATTGATATATCACCAATGATTTTGGCCTTCTCGCCGACGCTATCTTGGACGCTCTAATTGCCCGCCGACCCCCCGTCCAGGTCCAGTGGGAGGGGGTCGGGGGAGGGGTAAACCTGAAAACCCTTCACCAGAGGGGAACAAGGTGGGTTTGAAGAGGAGACGCTCTAAACCACTCACGTCCTGGAAGGTTGGTGGGATTTTCAGGCATCCGTTTCTGGTTCCGTGAGGCACACATGCATCAGATAGTTGATGTTGTGAGTTCCAGTCGTTTTTTTCCCGACGTGATCTCTTTCCACTTCGACGGATCTCGAGGTCCTCCTCCTCCTTCTCCACCTCCTCCTTCTCCTCATTGACGCAGGCCTGCGAGACGGTGACCGCCAGCGTGTCACTGCTCAGTGAAACACAGAACCCAGTTTTTGCCAAGGCGAGCGCACAGCCCAGCTGTTTACCGATGCGAAGCCTGGAAATGGTCATGCCCAGCCCATGCTCGATTCGGGTGACGTCTTCTCGTCCTCGTTCTCCTCCCTCCCCCTCCCTCTACGCAGGGCTGCGAGACACTGACTGCCAATGTGCCAGAGGCCAACCGGACTTACAGCTCCGTCCTCAACAACGACCAGCCTGGAACCGGCCATGCCCGGTCCATGCTCGACTCGGAGCAGGCCTGGAGCGCCGCAAACAACAAGACGGCCGGCAGCTGGGTGCAGATGGACCTCGGCGGCGTATCGACGGTGATCGGGGTGGTGACCCAGGGCAGGTCGGCCCAGCCGCAGTGGCCGACGATGTACGGAGTGGCGACTTCGGTTGACGGCAAGTCCTGGGCGGGGCTTGCGAGCAAGTTCGCGGGGAACACAGACTCCGACTACAAGGTCCTTGCGGCGCGGCACGAAGGGGGGTGCGGGGCGAGGTGTGTGGCCTTTGAGAGGGCTCGGAGGCTTCTGAGAGGGTCTCTCAGTCGGGCAGTGCCAAGGGGGGTCGCCACTAGGCATTTAGGGGGTCAGTAGTTCCTCCTGGAAATCGAGCTTCCAGGATCGTAGCTCGATGATGTTTTTGGACGTCTGGGGTCGTCTCGGACACCTCCGGAGTGTTCTTGGGGACCCTCTCCCTCGTGGCATTGGGGGGAAGGGCTTCTTAGTGGGCATGATGCCTTCACCAGACCCAACAGGACGGAGTCCCCCAGCTCTGGTCGAGGACTTCCCTCCTCGAGAAAGAGGTCTCACCCAAAAGTTCAGGTCGCCCCCTCCGCTTTGGTTCGGTCAGGGGCTACCTGATAAGAAGCTTCTAAGGGCAGGGGCACAACAAAATGCACGAGCATGGACGTCAGGAGGGCCGCGCTGATGTCTTGGATCAACGCTGGCCCCCCTAGCGCGCGGAGCGCGGAGGTGCCGCCAGCGCCGATGCACGAAATCAGAGCGGAGCTCCAGCAGTTCCGTGCAGTGCATCTGAGGAAGCCAACAAGCGAACAAGAACTGCTAAGGCACTCGCAAGTGCGGCTGACGATATGCTTCGGCACGATCAGCCACGTGAGACGACGTCGCACTGGTCGCGAACAGTTTTTCCGATGAAAACAATTAGCCTGGCGAATGGGTGGGGGAGACGCATGCGAACTGAGCCACTGGGACTTCGGTGGGGCTCCCTATGGGACTACGAAACGCTGTCCTGGGTGGGGGAGACGCATGCGGCCTCCCCCACTGGGGCCTTCGGTGGAGCTCCCTATGGGGCCACGAAGCGCTGTCCTGGGCGTGGGGGACGCATGCGGCCCCTCCCGCTGGGGCCTTCGGTGGAGCTCCCCATGGGGCCACGAAACACTGTGCTGGGCGTGGGGGACGCATGTGGCACCCCCCTCTCGAGCCTTCGGTGGAGCTCCCTATGGGGCCACGAAGCGCTGTTCTGGGCTTGGGGGACGCATGTGGCCCCCTTCACTGGGGCCTTCGGTGGAGCTCCCCATGGGGCCACGCTACGCTGTCCTGGGCGTGGGGGACGCATGCGGGCACCCCCACTGGGGCCTTCGGTGGAGCTCCCCATGGGGCCACGCTACGCTGTCCTGGGCGTGGGGGACGCATACGGGCACCCCCACTGGGGCCTTCGGTGGAGCTCCCTATGGGGCCACGAAACGCTGTCCTGGGCGTGGGGGACGCATGCGGGCACCCCCACTGGGGCCTTCGGTGGAGCTCCCTATGGGGCCACGAAGCGCTGTCCTGGGCGTGGGGGACGCATGCGGGCACCCCCACTGGGGCCTTCGGTGGAGCTCCCTATGGGGCCACGAAACGCTGTCCTGGGCGTGGGGGACGCATGCGGGCACCCCCACTGGGGCCTTCGGTGGAGCTCCCTATGGGGCCACGAAACGCTGTCCTGGGCGTGGGGGCGCATGCGGGCACCCCCACTGGGGCCTTCGGTGGAGCTCCCTATAGGGCCACGAAGGGCTGTCCTGGGCGTGGGGGACGCATGCGGGCACCCCCACTGGGGCCTTCGGTGGAGCTCCCTATGGGGGGGCCACGAATCGCTGTGCTGGGCGTGGGGGAGGCATGCGGGCACCCCCACTGGGACCTTCGGTGGAGCTCCCTATGAGGCTACGAAACGTATGAGGGGTGTGCCGAGAGCAGAGGCAATGAGGGGGAGGAGGGAGGAGGGGGAGGGAGAAGCGGGAGGAGGAAGGAACGCGGGGCGCTGTCTCTTCAAAACGAGGACCCAACACCACAGGATGGTTGGGAATTGCATTCAATGACATGGCGGTGTGCAGGCAAATATGAGTTGGCGCGCTGCAGACGCCTACACCTAAGCACAACGTGTCATTTCAAAATGTGGCTGGTAAGCCTTGCGTCAACGGAGGAGGAGGAGGAGGGAGGAGGAGGAGGAGGAGGAGGAGGAGGAGGAGGAGGAGGAGGAGGAGGAGGGAGGGAGGAGGAGAGGAGGGGGAGGAGGAGGAGGAGGAGGAGGAGGAGGAGGAGGGAGGAGGAGGAGGAGGAGGAGGAGGAGGGGCAGTGCTTCCTTCCCTGAGGAAGCGCCCCTGCCCCCTCAGAAGGCCCCCGCTCGCCCCCCCCATCTCCGTGCCGCCACCGAGGTTCCGAGGCTTCTTCCGACCGGAAAGGAGGCGCGCTTTGTCCGCATCAGCGTTGACGCGTGGAACGCGTGGCCGTCCCTCAGGGCTGGCGTACTGACATGCAAGGCGGCGCTCGCGCCGCCTGCTTGCTCCCCACAGTTTTGAGCAGGGGAGTACAAGGATACCGCTGCTGGTCCCGGAGAATCCTCAGCGCCACGGCCGGAGTCTGCGTGAAGTCTCTGTTTGTCGGAGTGCTTTTCCGGGGAAGGTCCAGGGAGTAGCGGCAGACGCAGTAACCTCGTTGATGACTAGGGGGGGGGGATATCATGGCGTGGGTCATGATATTTCCTTAGATCTCATGGCGCCTCTTCTTATTTCATTACGTCCCTGGCCCGCCCGCTGGGCCGCGCACATGCCGCCGGTCATGATTTGCACACCCCCCTCTTCGACACCCCACTCTTTGCCGCTCCCGATAACCTCGGCAGCTAATAGCAGGTGCTCTTTGAGGTGGAGGCCCCCTTTCCCCCCCCCAGGCTCCACGCCCGGAAGTGTGACCGAGATCGCAGTGTGGTCGAAACGATAGCCAGTTCAGCAGCCTGTTCGGCCACGCTCGGGCATATGTTCGGGCCCACTTTCGGTACAAGGGTCCCGCTGATAGGGGCGAGGATGCACGCTTCGGCGTCGGTGTCCCAAGCATCATTCTGGGGCAGGATTGGCCTGAGTCTGCTCCTGGCGGCGGCGGTGCGGAGGCGTCCACATGGTTTCACGACAGTCGTTCTACGCTATTTCGTAATTTTGTTTTGTCTGTCTCCCCCGACGGTCTTTCAATGGTGGCCCTATTTGTTTACGATGATATCCCATCCCGATAGAATCTCGATTCTCTATGGTGTCACGTTGATGTCTCGATTTGCTTCGAGGGTTCCTCGATTGCTCTGTAATCGCTGTATGTTCGTTTTGAAAACGAATGGCTGGTCTGGGTACCTTTGAAAGCGTCTCTCCCCGCGTCTCTGTCCTCTTTCCTGCTCCCTCTTCCTCGCCCTCCTCCCTCCTCCCGCTTCTGCCCCTCGCATGTCATCATGATCATCATCATCGCTGTCTTCGTCGTCGGTGTCGACGTCGGCGTCGGCATCATCATCATCATCATCATCATCATCATCATCATCATCATCATCATCATCATCATCATCATCATCATCATCAGCATCAGCATCAGCATCAGCATCAGCATCAGCATCAGCATCAGCATCGTCATCATCGACAACCCCCATCACCATCATCGTCATCATCATCAGTAGCATACCTAATCGTCGTCATCATCATTATAAGCATCGCCATCGTCAGCATCATCACCACCATCATCGCTATCATCATCATCATCAACATCATCATCGTCATCAGCATCACTATTATCATCATCATATTCATCATCATCATCATCATCATCATCAGCATCATCATCATCATCATTATAGCCATGATCATTGTCATCATTGCCATCATCAACACCACCTCCACTATCGCCATCACCATCATTTCCATCACCAACATCATCGACATTATCATCACCTCCTTCGCCATCATCATCATCATCATCATCACCACCATCATCATCATCATCATCATCATCATCATCATCATCATCATCATCATCATCATCATCATCTTCATCTTCATCTTCATCTTCATCTTCATCATCATCATCCGCATGATCATCATCTTCATCGCCATCACCAATTCCATCATCAGCATCATCATCGCCATCACCATCATCGTCGTCATTGTTATCGTCGTCATCAGCATCATCACCATGTTGACATTCACTGCTTTTCATTCGTATCATGTATAGTATATTCGTGTTTAGGCACGAGTCGCACCACCAGGAGTATAGTGTATCGTCCTCATCGTCCACATCACCACCACCGTCCCCACCATCATTATCATCATCACCGTCATCATCAGCTTCAGCATCACCACCACGATTATCATCATCATCCTCATCTTCATCATCATTAAGTATTCGCATCATTCTCATCATCATCCTCATCAGCATCAGCACCTTCGTCGTTATCATTACCATCCTCATCCTCATCAGCATCATCAACATCATCTACACCGTCATCAACACCATCATCATCTTCATCACCATCATGTTCATTACCGCCATCGTCATTGTAATCGTCAGCATCATCATCAGCATCAGCACTATCATCATCATTAACAACAACATCATCATCCTTTCTGATCGCCTTGTCCTCATCATCGGCTGGGCTCATAGGGAGCCCTAACAAAGGCCCACGTGGCAGGGTGGCAGGGTGCACATGTGTCCACAGGCCCATTTCGGCACACCCCTCAAGCACTGCGTGGCCCAATAGGGAGCTCCACCGAAGGCCCCATTGGCAGGGTTCACATGCGCCCCCCGGCCCGTTTTGGCTTACCTCTCAAACGCTTCGTGGCGCAGTAGGAAGTGCCACCGAGGGCCCCAGTGGCAGGGTTCACATGCGTCCCCAGGCCAATTTCGGCACCTCTCGCACGCTTTGTGTCAAATAGGGATCAGGCCCCAGTGGCAAGGTTCACATTCGTCCCCAGGCGCATGTCGGCGCAGCCCTCACACCCATACACACATACATACACACCGACACAGACACAGACACAGAATCAGACAGACACACCCGCACACATGCACACTCACACTCACACTCACACTCACACACTCACAACGACACATACACACACGCACGCACACACACCCACACACACCACACACACCCACTCACACACCCACTCACACACCCACCCATCCACCCACCCACCCACCCACACACCCACACGCACACGCAAGCACACACGCACACACACGCAAACACGCACACACGCACACACGCACACGCACACTCACACTCACACGCACACGCACACGCACACGCGCACGCACACGCACATGCACACTCACGCACACGCACGAACGCACGCACGCATACACACACCCACACCACCACACCCACACACCCACACACCCACACGCCCACACACCCACGCGCCCACACACCCACACACACACACACACCCACACCCACACCCACACCCGCACACACACACACACACGCACGCACACACGCACGCACGCAGGCACGCACACATGCACACGCAACCGCACACGCACACACATACGCACACGCACACGCACACACACATTCACACGCACGCACGCAGGCACGCACGCACGCACCCACACGCACCCACACGCACCCACGCGCCCACACGCGCCCACACGCACCCCCCCCCACACACGCACACACAAACACGCACGCACACACACATACCCACGCACACGCACACACACACACACGCACACACACACACGCACACACACACGCACGCACGCAGGCACGCACGCACGAACGCATGCACTCACGCACACACGCACACACACACGCACGCACGCACACGCACACGCACACGCACACGCCCACGCACTTGCACACATGCGCACACGCACGCGCACGCGCGCGCACGCGCACGCGCACGCGCACGCGCACGCACACGCGCACGCGCACGCACACGCACACGCACACGCGCTCGCACACGCTAACACACGCGCCCACACACGCACACGCACCCACACAAACATACGCACACGCACACGCACACGCACACTCACACGCACACGCACGCGCACGAACGTCCGCACACGCACACGCACACGCACACACACACGCACACACATACAAACACACACACACATTTGCGTCGGCGGCTGGGCAGAGGGCGACTGCTGCGGCGGATATGGCAACAGGGGACACGCTGTATGCAAGTTAAGGCCTCTATGCACGGATGGAGGAGAAGGAGCCCTGGCGCGACAGGAAGAAGCAGCCGGGCCATTCAGAACTGCTGGCTGCGGCGGGGGGTGCGCCGAGGGGAGGGAACAGCGCTGGCACTGAGCTGAAGCTGGAGGGGAAGCAGCGCTGAGCGGCAGCTCGCGATGGAGAAACACAGCGTAGCAGAGCCCGACCCAGTGAACCAAAACGCGGTCCAGGGATGGGCCAGTGCGCCGAGACCTGCGGGCCTACGAGGCGCGCGCGGGGAGGTGGAAGGCGGGCAGGCACGGTCAGAGCTTCCAGCTGCGGCGGGGGGGAGCGCCGAGGGAGGGTACCAGCGCCCTGAGCTGAACAGAGCTGAGGCCGGGGGGGAAGCAACACTGAATTGCAACTGGTGATGGGGAAACACAGCGTAGCAGCCGTAGCAGAGTCCTGACCCAGTGAAGTAGGGCCCGGTCCAAGGCTGAGCCGATGCGCGAGGCGCGGGCAGGGAGGGGTGGATGCGGGCAAGTACGAAGGCACCACAAGCGAGGGCGCCGAGGGGACAGACTGGCGACGGCTCCGCGCTGCACCGCGGCGCTGAGCAGAAGCGGGAGCGGGCAGCCCGCGGAAGGGTGGCGGTAGGGGGAGCAGGGGAATCAAAGCAGAGCCCCGACCCGTTGCCAAAGGGACAGCACCCCGAACGTCGGCAACGGTGGGAAAGCGCCTGACCGGGAGGACCTACGAGGCGCAAGGCGCGGAAGAGAGAGTTTGCCCGGCGATGCGCAACGGCGCAGCAAGCCAAGGCGGGAAACAGCAAAGCCACGCCGGGTGGGGGAGCGGCGGGCCCAGAGTGCAGGCGGGACGACAGCCGACGGCAAGGCGTGCCTGGCCAGCGGCGAGGCGAGGAGGCACGAAGCCAGCGACACCCAGACGACAGCGGGTGCCGAGGCCAGAAGGGCGAGTGGAGCCCAGGCAAGCCCAAGGAACAGGCGATGAGAAAGGCTACGGCAAGCGGCGGCGAACGCCAGCCGGAGGCGGGACACGCGACAAGGCCACGCCCAAAGGGGGAGCGGCGGGCCAGGTGGGGCGAACAAGGTGGGCTCCGAGGCCGACAGGCCAACAGGGCAGAAGCCGACACGCACACACACACACGCACACGCACACGCACATGCACACACACGCACACGCACACGCACACGCACACACACGCACACGCACAAGTACACGCACACGCACACGAGCACGCACGCGCACACGCGCACGCACACGCACACGCGCACGCACACACACGCACAACACTCACACACAGCACACACAACACACAAGACA